CCCGCCGAGGGTTCGGATCCCACATACAGACCGGTTCCCGCTCACTGGCTGAGCGAGGCGTGGGAGCAACACCGAGGGTTGCGATCCCGTTGCCGGTCCCGGTCCGGTACGGGCACGACACTGAGGGTTGCGGTCCGTTGCCGGACATGAAAAAAGACAAAAAAAAGACACACACACAAAAAAGCAAACAAAAACCCACTCAGAATGTTGCAACAACGATCTTCTTATGGAAAAAGGTTAAACACAAGAGCACAATGAAAGGTGTACAATATACTCCATTCATCTCAATGTGGCTTTGCCTCTGAGAGGGAACGGGAAGGAGGCCCATTTCAAGGAAAACAAAGGAAGCGGTTTCATGGTTTCGCAAGAACTATATCTGTCAACAGAGTAGATTCTTCTAAGAAATATTTTTTACATAGACTATGGAAGAAAACTAGGAACTTCTTGGAACTTCTGCATCAGTGAAGAGATTGTTAAAGTTATTCAGTTAGGAAACCAAGTATCAGCCCATTTCCATCAGTAGTTATTGAGTATTCATGCATTCATTCATTCTTTATTCATTCAATACATTTGAATGACACTTTTGTACCCTGCACTATGCTGGGTACAAAACTACCCAGCAGAAAGTAAAATATAGGTAAAGATATGGTCTAGCCCTTGAAAAGCTTCAACTAACACATGAATCTAGTGGTTTCTAACCAAGAGTCTACTTAAGGGTCAAGGGAGACAGAGAGAGAGAGAGAGAGAAAATATATATGTGTGTGTGTGTGTGTATGTGCATATATATACATTTGTTCAAAAAGCCCTGGAGTCCGAAGTCCAGATTCAAACGTTGGCTCGATGCTTGAGCAACCACTAACTGGTCGTATGACCCTTAATATTTTTCAATTGTACAATGAGGATAATAGAAACTACATCACAATTGCCAAGATTAAATGAGATGATTCATGTGGAAGCTTTGTGTAAACAGTACGGAATTTTGCAAACACTGGTGAAAAATTATTGAAGGTGAATGTACCAGGAGATTAAAGCAGTGTTTATCAAAGTGGGTTTGTTGAAACACTAATGCCCAAGGATGGTAATAGGACTTTCTCAAGAAGAGAGTTCTGTGGTCAAATGAACTTGGGAAATGCAGGATTAAGCAAAGTAAAACACAATTCTTAGGCCTGTAAGATGTAACGTGTATTGTGAGTCGCAAGGAAAGCAACTATACTGTCTCTTCCTCCAAATTAATGTGATCTTGGGATCTACCCCATTTCTACTCCAGCATTTCCAGGCCTTGGAGATTGACAGAACTCACTTTGGAAAAGACTGCTCTCAAGGAAGAAAACTATTAACCTTCACTTCAATCTACAATCCATCGGCCTCTCAAAAGCTGAGCCATTCATCATCAGATAATCTAGAAATTCACTCAACAACTTTCTAAGTACAGTGCTGAGATTCCCACCATGACAAGTATAAAAGAAAAGGGCCACACGGGGTTAGAGGGAATTCCAGCACAGAATGGGTGGGTGTGTGTGCGTGCACAAGGTGTTGCAGTGAATACATTTAATATTTCTTTCAAGACGCCTACTGATAGAAAGGCAGTAACAGATATAAAGCAACAACAGTAGAGACGCGGGGTGATTCTCAAAGACTTTATAATTTGACTTAATAAAAACACTAAAATTCTAGTAAGAGCACAAAACAACTCCACTTCTAAGAAAGAATGCAGAAACATCTCTGGCAAGAAAGACTGCTCCTTCCTCCCCAGTTCAGAGAAGTTCGTCAGGCCGATACCTCTCCTTCTACCTGTTGTCTCCCTCCCGATGATCCCTCAAAACACCCCAGCTCCGCCCGGTTCGATTTCAGACCTTCCCAAAGGCAGAAACAGGAAGAACGCGCGAGGGGCCGAATCGAAGACGCAGGCGCAGTGCGGCTCAGGTGCTTGGCTGGGCGGCCCCGCCCCACCCGCCGGGCGGCCCTGAGGGGCGGGGCGGCTCTGAGGGGAGGGGGGTACCTAGGGGGGGGGGGGCGCGCCTGAGGGGAGGGGGGTA